CCTGGCTGTAAACTAAACTACAGATCACAGCAGCCATTCTCTTTAAATTGTGATAAGTATTAAGTCAAGCTTGTATTAAATTCCTCTTTATCGTCAAAAAGAATTATCCTCAGGCTCACAGAAATTTTTTTTCTCCACATTTAAGATTTCCAGGTATTTAGTAAAGGAAAGCTGAAAACCTGAATAAAATGACAAATAATAATAATAATAATCCTTGCATTTGATATAGTGCCTTATCACATCTGCGAGACGTCTCAGAAATTAAGAACGCTTCACAGAATATACTGTAAAGTGAATTGACTATATATTTTGTGGGTGAACAGCAGTGTTCCACAAACAGTCGTAGAATGAGTGACCAAATTATTTATTTAAAAAAATATTTTGAAGGAATTATTACCCCCGGAAAAGTGATCCGCCAATCAACTAATAACCAGGTTCCTACTTACTATTAGACGTGTGGAGTAAGGAAACTTGCCCAACATTTCGCCCTGCCGGGAATCAAACGCAGATCCATTGCTTGAAATGATCAATAAATATCTCAAAGTGCTTCACAGAATATACTGTATAGTGAATTGACTGCATATTTGTTGGCAAATCGCAAGAGCCAATTGCACACAGCAGTGTCCCACAAACAGTCGTGGATTAAATGACAAAAAAATTTTTAAGGAATAATTACCCCCGGAAAAGCGATCCGCAAATCGACGAACAACTGGGTTCCTACTTACTGCTGGGTATACAGAGGAGTGTTGAGTAAGGAAACTTGCCCAACGTTTTGCCCTGGAAATCAAACCCAGGTCCTCTCGAATGCGGGGCGAGTGCACTAACCACAGAGCTACAGAATTAACCAATATTAAGAAATTTGCACTGTTAGATATGCTGCAATTAAAGGTCTCCATCCAAGACTGTGAACCAGACAAACATTTGGCAGATAACGTTTATATGCGATTGTACAGATATTCACATTGTGCAACTGTGGAGCTTGAAAGACGACCTAGAAGTACAAAATGTACAAAATCATTGACAACAGTAGGGACCTCAGCAGTTGAAGTGGAAGCAAATTCATATCGGAATTAAAATTTTAAAAAAATACAGGCTATTTTCTTTTGTCTGTTTTCATAGTTTGGGGGCTGGAGGGTGGGGTGGGGAGGGAGAGGGAACAACAACAACAACAAAATTACATTTATAGAGCGCCTTTCACGTCGGGACAGTCAGGGGTCGGGACCCAAGCATGGGGGAGGGGTGGGGTAGCGGTGAGGGAAGGGAGAGAGGTGGGAGGGTGACCAAAGCCATGATCGAAGAGAAGGGTCTTGAGACCGGCCTTGAAGGAGGCAAGGGAGGAAGCAAGGTGAAGGGACCGTGGGATGGAGTTCCAGAGTATGGGGGCAGAGAGGTGAAAGCCCGGCCACTGATGATAGGGAGGGTCGGGCGGGAGACATGGAGCAGACCGGAGGCCGCTGAATGGAGGGAGCGGGCAGGTTGGTAGGGAGTCCGCAGGTCAGAGAGGTAGGAGGGAGCAAGGCTATGGATGGGGTCACGGAGCCTGGTGCACAAGAGTACACGAGCTGCAGAGTTTACGATGATCTGCAGCTTGTGAAGGGAAGAGTTGGGAAGGCCGATGAGGAGGGAGTTCCCGTAATTGATCCTTGATGTGACGAATGCATATGTGAGGGTTTTGGCAGCCTGAAAGGTGAGGCAGTGGCGGAGTCTGGCAATGTTGCGGAGGTGGTGGTAGGCAGTGCTGGTCATGGCGCGAATGTGGGGGAGAAAGGACAGTTCAGAGTCAAATAAGACACCCAGGTTCCTGACTGGCTTAGTGAGGTTGAGTGTGCAGCCGTGGAGGCTGATGCTGCCAGCGCCTGAGTTGTGGAGGCGCTGGCGCGAGCCAATCAGGAGGGCCTCAGTCTTGCTGACGTTCAGTTGGAGAAAGTTGTCCCTCGTCCAGGACTTGATGTCAGACAGGCAGTCGGTCAGGACGTCATTAATCCTGGAGTTGAGGGTGGAGACAGAGAGATAGAGTTGGGTGTCATCCGCATACATGTGGAAATTTACCCCGTGTATGCGGATGATATCACCAATGTAGAGGGTGAAGAGGAGGGGACCCAGGATAGAGCCCTGAACGAAACTAAGAGGAGACTGGAGGATAAGTTGTTTGCTGCGACGAAGTGGAGGCGGTGTGAAAGGTAGGACCTGAACCAGTCGAAGACAGAACCTTGAAGGTTGAGGTGGGAGGAGAGGCGGTGGAGGAGGATTGAGCGGTCCACAGTGTCAAAGGCAGTGGAGAGGTCGAAGAGGACGAGGAGGCAGAGGGAGCCCTGGTTGTAACCGTGACCAGAGCAGTTTGAGAAGTTGGCAGACCAGAGAAACCAGATTGGAGGGGTTCATGGAGGGAATGAGGAGTGGAAAGAGCGAAGCTGGGAGGTAACAGCTCTCTCAAGGACCTTGGATAGGAAAGGAAGGTTTATGGGCCGGTAGCTGGATAGCTGTGATGGGTCAATGGAAGATTTCTTCAAGGTGGGGGTGATAGTGGCTGTTTTGAGGGGTGTAGGAACATGCCAGATGACAGGGAGAGATTGATTATGTTGCTGATAGTGGGGCAAGGGTGTGGAGCTGGGATTTAAGGAGAGGGGTGGGATGGGGTCCAGGGAGCAGATGGTGGGCTTCATGGAGGATATGGTGGTGAAAACAGAGGAGGGGGTGACAGGTTCAAAGGTGTGGAAGGAGGGATGGGTAGTTATCGGAGTGTGGGCGGAGGGGGTAAGTAGGGGATGGAAGTTGGGAGAGCAGTGGCAGCTGAGCGGATTCCTCGATTTTGGATTCAAGGAAGTTCAGGATTTTTTTGCAGTGGGAGTCAGGGGAAAGAATCTACGTGGCGTGGAGGGCCGGGTAGCCGGTTGGTGGTTGAGAATAGGAGCCTGGGGTTGCTCTTCGCCTCCAGGAATAACCTGGAATAGAAGAAGGATTTGGGTGAGGTGAGAGTGGAGCGGTAGGTTTTAATGAGGTCCAGCCAGATGTGGCGGTGGACCGTTAGGCTGGATTTGAGCTGTGCATTCGGCAGACCGCACCTGGCCCCTAAGCGAGTGGAGACGGCTGGTGAACCAGGGTGAGGATCGGGAATAGAAGGCAGTTCGGGAGGCGAGGGGGGCAAGGGCGTCGAGTGTGGTGGAGAGGGTGCTGTGGAGGAGAGTAAGCGCAGCAAATGGGTTGATGCAAGAGGTGGGCCAGAAAGGGAGGAATTCAGAGAACTCCAGGGCAGAGGAGATGGATTGCGGGGAGATCTTCTTCCACGGGCGGTAGAAGATGGTGGTAGGTTTGGAGGCAGTGGGGAGAGGGATATGGGAGTTGAGGGAGATGAAATGGTGGTCAGAGATGACCTTATCAGTGATGGTGACATCCGAGACACTGAGACCCCGGGTGATCAACAGGTCAAGCTGGTGACAATGAACATGGGTAGCAGAGTGGATGTGGAGGGAGAGGTTGAGAGAGGAGAAGTTTGAGGAGGTGGAGCAGGAGGGGGTGAAGTAGAGGTTGCAGTCGCCTAGGATGATGAGGCAGTCGGAGCAGAGGCAGAGGGAAGCTAGGAGAGTGGAGATGTCAGAGATGAAGGTGGGGGAGGATTTTGAGCGGCGGTAAATTAGGAGAATTTTTAGAGAGAGGTGGGAGGAATGTCAGAGGGTAAGGTGTTTGAAAGAGGGGACTGAGCCAGTGGAGTAGGGGATAGGGCAAGTGATGCCCTGGATATGAGGGCCACACCACCGCCACGACGGTTGGCGCGTGGGGCATGGTGGTAGGTGTAGCCGGGTGGTGTGGCCTCATGTGAGGGGGAGGGTATCACCTGGGGTGATCCAGGTTTCCATGAGGGCCATAATGCCAATGTTCTCATCAAGGATGAGATCATTAATGGCCAGGGATTTGTTGGAGATGGAGTGGACATTTTCAAGGCCAATGCGGAGTGGACAGTTGGCAGAGGGATGTGTAGGATGGGAGGGGGTAGTGGATTGGTTGGCAGGGAGGGTGGGGATGTGGATGAGGGAGGAGATGTTAGCCCCTGGGGTCTGGGCCCGGGGTGACTTGCGGTGGTAGTGGGGAATGGGGCAGTCGGAGTGGTTGCTGCTGGACAGCCAACGCTGAGTACCGCAATGAGCCTAGTGGAGGATTCCCAGGCTGGAGCAGAGGGAGGCAGTGGGGGGTGGGGTCAAGCAGAGATAGGAACCGGGGAGGGCGGAGAGAGAGCAGGACAGAGCGGGAGAGTTGCATTTTGAGGGAGGGCCAACTCGGGTTGGGGGCGGCAGCCAAGATGCACACGCTGGGATGAGAGGCGACGGGTTAGTGGGACATTGTCAGCCTGCAGGAGGCTGTGGGGGCTAGAGGTGGCGCAGAGTGAGGAGGGCACTCATTGTGGGTAGTTGTTGGTCTCTTGGGTGTGACATCACGATAATGTTACTTGTGATTTTTCTACAGATGCCCCGCTCTGCCTCGACTCCTCCCCACGCTGCCCCCATTCCATCCTCCGAATCTATCACCACAAGGATACAAGGCCTACTGCTGTGTTACTAAAAATTAATTAGGGATAAAGTGGTGCGTAGTTCTGATGCTTCCAAATTTAAGGCGCGTGTCAAATTTGTACAAATGTCATTTGTATTGCATTCCTCTGCCCCAGATGAGGATAGCACTCCTTTCACAAATATTGACAATATGTGCAGAGGAAACCTATAATTTTATTTTTTCGTGTACAGAGAGAAATGGTGATTTTCGTGCAGACTCTTTGGATTTTTTTGCACAGCAGCTCTCTCAGTTAAGCACAGCCAGTAAGACTTTTTACAGGAAGTACAGTGATAGGTTGGCTTCTTAGCCGAGGTTCATAAATTCTAGGCAAGCGTGTATGAGCATGAATCCTATAGTTGCAGGCAACCCAGAGGCCTGGCCGAGTCTGACTTCTTGCCTGTTTATTGTTCATTAGGGTTTTTGATACGGCTTTTGGATTTTCTGTTCCAAATCGATCGACGTTAGCAGCAGCCTGAGGGGCAAAACAGTAAGTCGCTACCTTTCTCAGACAGAAATATTTTGCTTAAAAACAATACTGATTTATTTAACGTACAATGTGAGTTTGTGTTTAGGAGTGTTTGAAACTGACTGCTATTTGTGGGAGTGCATGCTGTGATTAATTTGTGCAATGATGCTATAGTAATACAACATTAGAGATATAATCCAAAAATATTTTTCATAACAGTTTATCGTACAAAGATATAGTATCTGTACAGCATGCTCTAAGTTAATCCATGACTTTATTCGTTTGAATCTATGTGATAATTAGATTGAAAACCTAATCTATATTCCACATGCAGTGATCTTTTAGAATGTTAACCTCCAATGCTGAACTGTATTACCATGAAGCCACTGTTTTTAATTTTATTCCCATTGGGCAGACAGCAGGGGCAAATTTACAAAACTATGCAAACGACCATGGTAGCTATATATTTTTAGCAATGTCTAGGTCTGCTGTTCTGATTGGGATTAGCACAGAATGACAGCACCCAGTGAATCTATAGGTGAGGCATAAATTTACCGTCTTATTTTAAAGACAATGCTCACAGTTTCTCTTTCAAGAATGTGTCTTAATTCTGGGTTTAGTGTAGAATCCTTACGAGGAGGCTGACCAGTGTTTTTGCTGGGCTTCTAAGCATGAAATATCCTTCACGAAACACTATGATTCCACAAATGCTTTCATTTCCAGCTGAAAATGCCTACAGACAAAGAGAGAAAATAGTTATTGCTTTTAGGATTTTTAATGTTTTCAGTACATATGTTAAAACATAATTTTACTTTTGAGCTGTAAATACTGTGTGATTTATCCAAGTATATTTATATAATATTGTTTGTCACATAAAATAGCTCCAATGTTCTGTTTTTAGCGAGCTCCCACATGATCACCTGCAGAGTGGAAAGGTTTCAATTAAGTTAGTCTATTATTATATCAGCAATTGTTGTGGGGAGACATTTATTATTCCATTTGCCCTGAAACACTTTGGATTCTGTGTTACGTGCTTCACGGGGGAAACTAGGGCAAAGTTTCCTGCAAACTAAAATGGAAATTAAAAAAGGATAGTTCACAGAATAGGTGTAAAACTGTCAGTGAAAATGCAGTGTAACAGTTATTTGATGAAGTTGGTCACTTCCACTTGCAGCATATACATACCTTCAGATTTGATTCTAGATAAAGATATAAAAAAAGTCATGTTACCAATGTAAAATTGCAGCACTGGTCTTACAAGGTGAAACTAAAATACACTACAGCAACTGCCTGACTTGCCATCCAGAATACCTTCCACAGTAAGCAACCTAGTCTAGGTGATTTCAGGATGTTGAAGGTTAATGTTCGTCAATGACTGAATAGGAAACTTGGAGGTACGGGATGACAACTACTGAAGGCATAACTTGGAACTTAAGTTTGTGAACATGTGGTCTTATATCCGGCATATAATAATAAAATAATAATGCTCCTTGCATTTGGTATAGCGTCTTATCGTGTCATCAAGAGGTATCAAAGCACTTCACATGATACACTGTGTGGAATGACTATAAATTTTGTTCACAAACACAACAGCCAATTTGCACACAGCAATGTCCCATAAACAGCCAAAGAGTGAATGAAAAATTTTATTTGGGGAATTGTTAGCCAGGACACCAGGGGAAACTCCCTTCTCTTTTCGAATAGTGTGTGAGATCTTTAACGTCCAACTGAACGAAATCAGGAAGCATTTTTTTACTCAAAAGGAAACGTTATTGCATATGGTTTCTCTCCTCCAAAAGGCCGTGGACACTGGTTCCACCCACACCTTCAAGAGTGAGGTTGATAGATTTTTGGTAGGTCAGGTATTAAGGGATATGGGGAGAAAGTGGGAAATTGGAATTGAAAGGATTAGTTGAGAACAGCCATGATCTAATTAAATGGCGGAACAGGCTCGAAGGGCTGAATGGCCTATTCCTGTTCCTGTGTTCCTATGTTCCTGAAGAGGCAGACGGGACCTCGAGCTAATGTCTCAACCGAAGGATATTCAGCATATATCTGTGTTTACCTTAGTTTCTCTGAAGAATGGTTAGGTATCAGCTGAGCTCAGTTGTTATACTCTTGCCTCTGAATCAGACGGTTATAAGTTCAAGCCTCCTGTCAGGACTTTGAGATTGTAGTCAAGGATGACATTCCAGTACAGTGCTGGGGGAGCACTGCATTGTCACAGGTACTGTCCTTTCTTTGTATGAAACAATAAACTAAGTTCCATCTGCTGTTCAGGTGGACACTAACGATTCCATGGGACTATTTCAAAAGAGAGGGGAGTTTCTCCCGGCCGGCAATCTCTCAGATAAAACTGATCATTCAATGCATGGCAGTTTGTGGGACAATTGTTGTGTGCAAATTGTCTGCCGTGTTCACCAACAAATACACAGTTAATACACTTTACAGCAAATCCTGTGAAGCACTTTGAGACTTTTCCCTAACATGCTGTTTCAAACCTGTGAAATTCTATATCTTCAACTGGTGGAATTGCTGTTTTATTTTAGTGAGCAAGGTTTTCCCCCTAACCCCTACTGGGCCAAATTAAACCTTAACCATCAAAAGATGGTGTGGACCCAATTCCTTGATCATGACCTCCTGAGCAAGTCAGGTGCTGGATAACCTCTCCGACCAGGCAAGCCTGGTCTCTGCCGATGACTAAGGGCTAAAGGTAGTTTCGTATTCCAGTTTTTCCACTCCTCTTTGTGAGGGCCGTTCAAACTCCTCAGATCAGAACCTCTGACATCCCAATCCCAGCCAACAGATGTCTGAAAGCATATCGTTCCTGGCAGTAGCTGTACTCCCCTCACAAATAAATCATGGGGAGATTTGTGTTGTGGTATCTCTACATGATCCAGACCTCAAAGGGAGAATACGGGCAGGCACACAGTCCAAAGAGTAACTGATAAGAACAGATACTATAGTTGATCTTAGCCAAAAGGCTGAGTGGAATCACTGTTTGACTTTTTTTTAACTGTTTGATGGGCCATAGAATTAGTTCTGACTGTAGACTAGAGAATGGTAGCCCTTGCCCACTACATGATACGCAGTGTTGCTCACCTTAAGCTCAAATGGAGTTCTCAGTACCTATTAGCTGTTGAGCAATAGTTCATACTAGTCTGATGTAGTTTCCTGACATAATCTGTCATTACGGTCTTGGGAGTACTACATAGGGTTAGCTGTCTTACTACCTCATTTTCAATCCCTGACCAAGACTGCTTTCATTTACCTCTGCCATATTGCCTGCCTCCTCCAACACCTCACACCAAATGCCACCGAAACCCTCATTCATAGTTTGTCACCTCCTGCCAGGATTTATCAAATGCAATCCACTCTTATCACCCCTGTTCCACTATCCACTAGATCCAACTATTTCAATATTCCATCACCTGTATCTTCACCTGCACCAAACGCTGCATGCTCATCATTCCAATCCTCGCCAGGCTGCACTGTCTCCCTGACTCTGCTGTGCATCCCCCACCCACTCCATACCACCATTGGTGACCAAGCTTTCATTCATTACATCACGTAGGATAAGTTCTTCAGAATGTTTTGAAGTCACAGATTAAAGACTCAAAGCAGAGGGATTTTCAGAGAGTTTCAATGATCATGGGCATAATGGGTAAAAACTCATCCACTAATGATGGAACAGGGCGTGAGGAGTGAGAAGTGAGCAGCAGAGTGGAATTGGAAGAGCAGAACGTACCTCTATCTAAATGGCCTGTTATTCCATATGATTTTGTGAAGGCACAAACATCATTGAACACTGAACATATGGGAATACGCTTTCTGCATACTCACTATAATCTATACTAATAAAGACGAAATGTCTGTCTGTGTGTCTATCCGCCAATAACGCAATAACCGATTGACGTAGAGACATGATTTATACCTCATTGGAAAGGTCTTGCATGGGGGAGTATCAATGGCATATTTGTTGGGGGGGAATCTCCTTTCATTGATGACCTATGACCTAAACAAGCCCAGTTTTGCTTAAGGTGTGTACTCAGGGTTTATGGCATGTAATATGGTTTGTGAGTGGTATCACTGAAAACGCGAGCTCTAAAAACGAGCATTAAAAAAGTTGTACAGTCATTATCTACAATCATTGGCGAGATAATACCAAAATATGTCTTACTATAACATATGAGAAATACGTGACGTCAGACATCGTACTATCTGTACGAGTTCAATAGCACTTTTTCTTAAGATGCCTAAGAAGCGAAAATCAAGCCTTTCAAGGGCAAATAAAATGTCAGACCAAAGAGAGAAGGCTGATTAAATGAAACAGGAGAACAAAGAACAGCACGGTTGACATTGGACGCAGAAAGGCATGCAAGAGCACGGCAAAATGAATTGCCCGCTCAAAGAACAGCACGGCTGGACTTGGATGCAGAAAGGATTGCAAGAATATGGCTAAGGTGTACACACAGTGTTTATGGCACGTTAAGTGGTTTGTGAGTGGTATCACTGAAATCTACATTCCATATTGGAGCCTTTGGTTGCAAGTGTAGATGCAATGGGTACCACTAGTCTGTAATAAACAGAATGATCCTGGTGTTGATAATGTAAAGAAAACCTTAACAGTCTGGAAATTAAGAGTATAGAGGGATCAATTATGTGGAACTTGGGTAATAATGAAACTTTATTTGTAATGAACAGCTTTCAGTGCGTTGCTTCTCTTTCCATGCAAGTAAATGGCATATCATGTTTGCTGTAATGAAAATATTGCCAGTTTACAGTGAAACTCTGAGCGGTATTCTTTCATTTTTTAGTTTCTAGAAGCAGCATTTTGCACCTCAATTGAAATTATTTCCCTGGGTCAGCATGCTCCTAATCTCTAACTGAAACTTTTAAATTACACTTTTGAAAAAGAGTTTACTTCAGTTCAAATGCAGGAAATTTGGTCTCAGAATGAAAATACTTTTCACAAAGTATTGCAATTGTTCTCGGGTTCAGATTCACAACCTGAATATGCT